ACACAAAGCAATAAATATATAAAAGAATCATCTGACAACTGTTTGTGATACACACATCTATCATAATTACTTCTAGAGTTACCATGAAGTGTTAAAATACTTGTATCACTACCTCAAAGACTGTTTCAAACCATGTAATGACTTCTTCAACAAGCAAATATGATTTTTTTTTTTTACATTTAACAATAAATCCCTCTGGTTAATGCATGTGGATAGCTTTTTCAAGCTCACCATATAGAAAAGTTGTTTTACATCAAGTTGCTCAAACTTTAGACCGATTGAAGCAACCATGGAAAGACATACATGAAGAGTTATGTTTCACAATAGATGAGAAAACTTCATTGAAATCCACACTTCTTTCTGACTGTAGCCATTTGTAACCAATCGTGCCTTGTACCTTGTATATTTAACTCCTAGAATTCTTTTCTTTTTCTCAAAAATCCATTTACAACCAACACCCTTCATGCCCTTATGCAACTTCACTAATTTTTAAGTCTGATTCTTATAAAGGGATTTAATTTCTTCAATCATAGCAATAACCCAATGTGCAAACTCTTCATCTGCGATAACTTCTGAATATGTGGAATACTCCTGAACAGCAATCTCTTCTGCTATAGTAAGTGCATAAGTGACCAAGTTTGCATACCCATATTTTTTAGGGGGGTCTCTCTTGCCTCATCTTCCTGTCTTTTTGCAATACTATATTGTTTTTGCTCCTGTGGATCATCACCAGAACTAGAATCATGTAAAACAGGAATTGGAGAACTTTCAAGTACTTTCTATGAAGCTTCCACTTATAGCTCCACCTCATTACTATAACCCTGTTCTTTTCTTGTAGAAAAAATAAACTCATTTCTCAAAAGAAACATGGAAGATTCATCAAATACAACATCCTACTGACTATAAATTTAAAATCAAAATACCATAATCTATATTCTTTCAGAACACTTGCATAACCAATAAATATGCATTTTTTAGCCCTAGGCTCAAGCTTACCATCATTCACCTAACAATAAACAGTGCAATCAAATATTTTTAATTAGAATAATCAACAAGAGTACCAAATCATACCTCATGTGGAGTTTCTAACTCAATAACAGTGGATGGAGAACGATTGACCAAATAGCAAACATTGTTGACAGCCTTAACCCAAAAATCCTTAAACAACTCTGCATTAGTGAACATGCAATGTGCTTTCTCCAAAAGAGTTCTATTCATTCTCTATGCATCCCCCATTTTTTTGTGGAGTACTAGATAGTACAATGCTTGACAATGCATTCATCTCTGTAGAACTCATTAAACTCACCTCTACAAATTTTTAAACCATTATCTGTTATGATATACTTGAATTTCTTGACTGTCTGTATCTCAATCAAAATTTTTCATTGCTTGAAAGTCACAAAAACATCACTCTTGCATTTTAAAAAATACACTCAAATCTTCATTGAATAATCATCAATAAAGTTCAAAAGATATTGAGAGCCACCCTTACACAGAACTTGAGAAAGACCCCAAAGGTTTCAATAAATTTAATCAACTGTATCTTTAGTCTTGTGAATAGCCATACTGAACTTGACTCTACACTATTTCCTGAAAACACAATGCTCACAAAAATCAAGCTTCTCAATTGTCTATTGGCCAAGTAAACCCTATTTGCACATTATTGTCATGCTTTTCTCACTCATGTGGCTTAAACGCATAAGTCATAACTGGGTAGTATCTAAATCTAAAATTTTTTAAGATGACACACTAGCTGAACCAATCACAGTATCACCTTGAAGAACAAAGAGGTCATTAATCTTTTTACCTTTCATCACAACTAGGGAACCCTTGCAAACTTTTAAAACTCCACATTCAGTAGAAAATCTACAACTAATGGAATCTAAAGTAGCCAAAGAAATCAATTTTTTCTTTAATTCTAGAGTATGTAGAACATCTATCAAAGTTCTCACAATTCCATCATGTGTCCTAATCTGAAAAGTACCTATTCCAACAGTCTTGCAAGCAACATTATTTTCCATTAAGATTGAACTATCATTGATTGGCTCATAGGTGGTAAACCAATCCTTATTAGGGCATATATGATAGGAACAACCTGAATCAAGAATCTATTCACCATTAAAATGTTCATTAGAGACAATTATTATAAGGATATTATCTAATCTATCATAGATATCTTTTGCAACACCAACAACATTATAAAACTTGGAAGAATTTTATTTTTTTTGTCCCATTTTATTTTTCAACTTAAAACAATCATGATTGTAATGTCAAATTTTATGACAATAGAAATATTCAACACTATTGTGGTTTTTCTTAGATTGTGATCGATTTTCCTTTTTCTTTATCTGAATTTCAACAAACTATTGACTTTTATTATTATTAAAGGAACTATCATGATGACCCCTCTACAAAAAGACCATCAACCTAAACATCACTATCTTTACCATTCAATTTATTACGCAACTCTTTAGAATTCAAAAGAGGATTTCACATCAACTAAGGAAATCGAGTCTCTCTTATAAAAAATTAATTAATAAAACTATCAAAAGAATCAGCGAATGAGCATAACACAATAAGGGATTGATCTTCATCCCCAATTTTAGTATCAATATTGTTCAAGTCCATAATAATTTTGTTAAATTAATCAAGATGTTCATTAATAAGTGTATCTTCCTTGATATTGAGTGTTTGCAACCGTTGTTTTAGATATAAGTGATTCACGAGAGACTTCTTCATATACAAACTCTCCAACTTTTTTAAGGGCCCTTCGACTTTGTCTTCATCGACAACTTCACGAAGAACCTCATCAGCAAGAGACAATTTAATTGCACTATGTGTCTTTTCTTCAATATCAACAACTTTAATATAATCTACTTCATTGGATAGAGATCTATCAATGGCCTTTATCAAACCCTGTTGATGAAATAATGCCTTCATTTTAATCTACCATAAATTAAAATTCTTCTGACCATCAAAATTTGTCCATCTCGAATTTTTCTGTAGTCATCTAGAAACCAATAGCTTTGATACCAATTTGTTATGAACAAATACCACACAAAGAAAACATAACGAAATATAAAAATAAAACATACAAAATTTATGTGGTTCGGCTTACCAAGCAATCCTACGTCCATAGGTCAAACACAGTTGTAAGATTTTGCTATCAAAGGTTGGAGATTACAAAACGTTCTCATTAACAAAGGCAATAGAACGTGTTATTACTCTATCACTATTACAATATTCATAGTGCTCAAAAAATTCCTTAAAAGTACATAGTTTTTGTGAAGAAGACCCAACAAAATAGAGCAAATCCCAAATCTCCAAAGATGAAAAAACTCTGTGTCGTTCAATGTCAATGACAAGCCACTGGAGAGGACCAAAAAAAACCCATGCTTATGGACAAAAACAATTCATATATTACATGAAGTCTTGGCAAAAGAAAAATTTCTTGATCCAAAGTCCTTTACATGATGGACTTGATAACTTGTCCCAATTGGTGTGAAATCCAAACAATAAAAAAGAGTCTAAGTCTTGCTCTCACAAAATGACATGGTGTAAAAGAATTTCTCCAAATAAAATTCAAGTAGACTTAGAATACAATGTATACAAAATAGTATTAAACTGATATTGAAGACAATTATAATGTTATGAAAGTAAAAAGAAAATACAAAATAGACATAATAGGAAAGTCACGATTCTTCATACTTTGATTGAATTAAATAGTATTTGTTGGAGATTTTTTCTTGTCAATGATTAAACATCCAAACTATTTTGATCATTATTGCAGTTGCAGCTCTATATACTATCCAGTCTAGCTGGCAGAACATGCCACCCTCTTGGAAGGGGTCTGATCCTTGTAGTAATTGGGACGGTATTGCATGTAATAGTTCACGTGTTACCTTCATGTAAGTTAGTGGGGTATCAACCTTCTAAAGTTCATAGAGTTGCTTAGTCTTGTTTTAACTTGCCAACTCTCACCGCAGAAATTTATCAGGCATGCTTGTGTCAAGCAACCAGTTTGACAACATTGCATCATTCACCAATTTACAGATTTTGTAAGTTTCATGTCTCTACTTCTACTTTTTCCTTATACATGTGATTTGTGTCTACTTTTTTAATTATCAAAGATGTTCTTAAACTATAGTTCTCATATATAATCTGACATTTCAGAAACCAACATTATTCATGCTAGACTACATTGCTCAAACACCCTTAAGGTTAACAGGTCAAGTTGTTGAGCAGTCATATAGGCATAAGTAGTGGTCAAACACTCTTCAAATCAATGATACAAGCACCATGTAGACTATCTTTGGGAAGTTGCATCACTGGACTTGATGCAAAGTTTTTTTTTTTTTTTTTTGACTCTATTTTCATAATTGATGCATCAAGATTGTGATCAAGTTTGCAAAAATTTTTATTCTCTTTTGTGACTTAGGATTACAAAACCCTTTGGATGAACGAATAGTTAGTGTGGACATGTCACTTTAGTTGCTACATATTAGTCATTTGTTGTCACATATAAAAGTCCAGTGTTACAAGAGATTTATTGAAGTACTACTACCCTTTTTCTGTGAATTGTTTGAAACAATAGTAAAACATTTCCTTAAGATTAGAAAAGGTTTAGCCATGAATCTCCTAGTCGAGAACAATATTCTTCCTATCAATTCTGCTAAAAATTAGCTCATTTGTTGAAAAAATTATATTGTCGCCATCTATAATAACATGACAGGCTTCAATAAGTAATCCGACGGTCTCAAATAGACTCATTCAATGGTCACCAACATTGCTCTCAAAATCATTCATATTTAATTTTTTTCCCCTCCGAAATTTATCACTTTTCACTTACATTGCATCGTATTTTCAGGCACAGGTTAACCCTAGTTAATTGCTATAGTAGAGCCTACAACATATTTAATTAAGTTTTTGTTGCCTGTTGACTTTGAGAATATCACTGTTGCATTGCTATTCTACTACTATTTATAAATCTTGTCATTTTGATGCTAAGCTTTCCATCTTCACATGAAATTTCATTTTGCCCCCAAACTACAATGGCATATGAAGATCTCATATTACATACCCACTCAATCAAGTGTAACAAAATTGATAACCTTTATTGTTTCTTCCTTATTTCACCAAATGACAAGCCTAATATTTCTTCCTTCATATTCAAGCCTAATATATCTTCCTTACTCTTCTTTCATATTATTTTTTTCCTTTTCTTGTATAGTGGTGATCGCAAGAGTGCTGAGAAAATTAGAAAAAAAAAATGTCCAAAAAGTATTTGCTTTAAGATGGATGTAGGGTAAAAAAAAAAAGAGAACTAAATGAACATATTGGTGAGAGAGTTGAGGGAGTGTCAGGAAAAGATAGTAAGAAAGAATCGACTTAAGATGTGTTCAAGCATATTTATAGAAGGCCTTGTAGTACCTAATAAACTTGAAACACATGTTCACACTATAGAAGGACAAATAGAAGAGAGTCATCAGTTGACATGACATTAGAGTCTAATAGAATTGGTACGGATAATAGCGTTGCACCAGCATTCCAGCACCGCGACAACACCTATTGCTGCAGAAGGGTGGGGAATATAATCATCGTATTAGAAGTGGAAAACTGGACCCTTGACTAAGAACGAACAAGGGTGGAACCCTGGAAGTCTTGGGGGCAACCTTGACATGACTCGCCTCCCCCACTGCAGAAATAAGGTACAAAGATCGGATTGCACTGCTAACGGAATTAACATCCTCAACCTATGGGACAATGTTGCTCAACTGGCCCAGTGGGCTAAGATGAGGGTTCCTCACCTATGGACAGGGTGGTATGACTCTCCTCAAGGGACAACTATGTAACGGGGGCGGACGAGCATAATTGTCGACCTCAGCCTTAAGTAGGGTCTCAAAGGTTTAGTCCACTCAAGTAGGTCTCCTAGTTCATAGCCCACTGCCCACTAAAATGTGCTTGATTGGGATTTTGAGGAACTTCTAAAGTAACTGGGGTCATTGGTCTAGATCAATATATGGGAATATGAGACATATGGATTGATAACTGATGGACCAAAACAATGTGGGTTTTCTCTATTAGGCAACTTAAATGCCTCGAGGAAAGGTTCAGAGAGGAAAGGGAGGACCCTAAGAAGAAGAGTACTAGGAGTATCACAGACATGGTCTTCCTGCGGTGACCAGTCACGGTTGTTGACCTTGGGAGCTCTCTTTTGCCTCGATTGTCGCACCCCTCCTCGGAGACTGCATTCAGGCCATTCTTGAGGAAATATCACATCCGCCTAATTAATTTGGGACATGTGGCTCACGGTGAGCAGTCACCGGCATTGCCATGGTCAAGGCAGTAGTAGTACATTGGCGTAGGTGTCAGAAGGTTGTGATGAGTAGATATTGTACTATAAATACCTGCATTACTTATCCACTGCAAGACATTCATTAATTACTATTTGGTATAAGATACATACTCTAGTTGTTGAGAGCATTTACCCTCACTACTTACTCTTTACCTAACTGGTTGGTCGCTTCATTAATAAGTCGTTTGAGTTCTTTTCATCTAGTCCACTCATTTTACTCATCTCTTTAAATACACTTGGCACAAACACGTGTGTTGTGTGTCAGCATCTTTTAACTCCCCGTCAACACTTCTCTTACTATATTGATGAGGAACCTATTACTGAACACAACAATATGATTCTTTACAGAACCTAATGAAGGGAGATGAATTATGTAGTCGACCCTAAAATTATTGGGAGAACGCTTAGTCTTGCTTGCCATATTACTTTCTCAGCCCTTGAAACTTCCAGGAGAACACATCCCACCAAAAAAAAAAAAAACTAAAATTCAAATCTGTGGTTTATATGTTACTTTAATTCAATGGACATCTCTTTACTTCACCTGTAGACATTGTTTTGTATTCTACATTATTGCTGATAAATTTCGCAAGAACCAGTTATTTTCTGATCAGTAGCTTCTGCAAGCAGGGATCTTTCAAATAACAGAGGTCTGAAAGGAACTCTTCCACCATCTATTGGGAATTTAAAGAATCTGACGATCCTGTAAGCAAAATTCTATTCCCTACTGCTTTGAGTGTCAGCTACCAACTAGTGTGCTTCAGTTTTTAAATTTGACTAATTTCTTTTCCTTTCACGTAGAAAGCTGGCTGCTTGCAGTTTCTTTGGTCCAATTCCAGACTCAATAGGATATCTGCCGCAGCTAGTATTTCTGTAAGGATTTCATTCCAGAGTACTTTGTTTGATTTTCTCAAGGTTTGATGATCATCCATTTCCTTACACAAGCCCAGGAATTTTGGCATTATAGTTTGAAAGCAGTTCAAGTTATCTTTATATTGTCATGGAACTATATATATAATGGGCCCTTTTACACCATTTCCAATGAAAACCGAAACACTTAACCAAATTTGAGTAATAAAAAGTATGTGTGTGTGTGTGTGTTTGGGGAGGGGGGTGGTTAAAAAGCTTGTTTTGCTATTAACCTCTTCAATGGAGAAACTCAAACTTAAAGGAGGAGACAAAAATCCAAATTTAAATGAGGGTAAAATATGACTATTGGATTTTTAAAGGAAGGTGAATTTAAATGAAGAGTTTTAGTTGAAGCTGCAGTCATCTTATGTTCTGTATCTTGTGAATTGCCGTTCTACGCAGAGCTCTGAATTCTAACAGCTTCAGTGGACCAATTCCAGCTTCTATTGGTAATCTATTGAATCTTACATGGCTGGATGTAAGTGAGAATCAGCTTACTGGAACCATTCCAGTGTCCAAGGGAACTACACCTGGTTTGGATATGCTAGTTAAAGCAAAACACTTGTATGTTCTACTTCTGAAGTTTTCAAAATGTTTAGTTTCTTCTTTCTTGTAATTTTTTTTTCCTATTTGTCGATGTGAACATCTACCAATTATGTACAGTCATTTCCAAAATAATCAGCTTTCGGGCACCATCCAACCGCAACTTTTCAGCTCAAACATGAACTTGATACATTTGTGAGTATATTGGAATGGATATTTAGTATCTCTGCTTTATTACCTTTAAGTAAATATGTAATTCAGATACGTTTTGTGCGCATTCACTTTGTTCACATATAAGTAAGAAGGTAGATGGTTTCACAATAGGCCTCCATTTTCTCCGTGTTTATTTTTTGCAGCCTTTTTAACAACAATCAACTGAGGGGGAACATCCCTCCTACTCTAGGACTTGTACAAACATTGGTGACGGTGTGAGTATCTCCATCCTTGCTTGCGCTGAACTTTTATAATTTAGTTTGCGCTGAATTTTGTCTTGGCTACAGCCGCCTAGATTGTAATTCATTAAGTGGGCCCGTCCCTCCGAACCTCAACAACCTTACAAGTGTCAAGCAGCTGTAAGCAGACAGATGATTTCTCGAACTTCAAGCTTTTAGATTATCATGCATTAGATTCTCCGAGTAATAAAAATGGGACTTGGCTATCCACTTTCAGGTACTTGTCCAACAATGAACTCACAGGACCTCTTCCAGACCTTACCGGCATGAACTCCCTTACCTACATGTAAGCTGGGGTTACTTTCTTGAATCTTTCATATTATTAATGGTGTAGGTGAAGCAATGCTGCTTAATTTGAAGCTATCTTTTCAAAGATGATTTTCAACTTTTCTCCTGTCATATTCGCATACTTTTTTCGTTTGTGTTTTTTCTTTGTCAAATTCTTATGGCATACTCTGTAATAATGTGATCCATTGGAAATTCTGACCAACACCTATTTGCTTTGTAGGGATATGAGCAATAATAGTTTTGATGTATCAGAAATTCCCCCGTGGTTTACCGAAATACAGTCTTTGACGACATTGTACCCATCTCTCTCTCTCTCTCTCTCTCTCTCTCTCTCTCACTCACACAGCAGAAACATGCATTCATGAAAAGGTTTCTTTAAACATTCATTCATGAAAAAGTTCTCTACACATTGCTGTCTTAAGAATAGTTAAACTATGATTTTTGTATTGTTGTCATACCCAATGAACAATCCTTCCCGCCTTTGGCGGGATTAGGAGAGGTAAGTGGAAAAACTTCACTGGAGATGTCTGTCTACCCAAAACATGGACTTTTTTCTGTCTTTCAAATTGAAATCGTACACAAAAGACAATGCCCTGAACTTCTTCCAAAAGGAGGACTCTCTTTCATCAGTTTCCTGCCATCTTTGTACCCTCTCTCTCTATCTCTCTCAATGTGTTTTTGTTATGTGTGTGTGCGTGTATCTAGTTGTCAACCTAATGGGTATACAAGATAGCCAGGAGCACCTTTAAGGGTTGGAAGCCCCAACAGCTCTTCAATAACAACAAAAGAAAGTGAATTGTCTTGTTAATTTACGAGTTTTTTGATGCTGTACGTAAAATAATAATTCTTTACCTCATATTGACAGAGTGATGGAAAATACACAACTTGAAGCACACATTCCAGTCAATCTTTTCAGCCTCCCTCAATTGGAGACGGTGTGAGTATAAGCTTAATCTCCAATAACACCATGAACACCAGATTTAATGTGGGCGATGTTCAGTAACAAAATTTAATGAACATATGTTTTGCTTCATTTTCAACATAGAAGAATCCAAATAAGGTTTTTTCAATGAGAAATGAGGGTGATGAGGCAATTTATTGGAAATATGTTGGCAGGGTACTAAGCAACAACAAGCTTAATGGGACACTGGATATTGGCAACAGTTATAGCAACAATTTGACCGTTGATTTGCAGAACAACTCCATTAGCGACTTTACACAGAAAGCAAGTTACAATATGGTCTTGAAGTAAGGCAATTTATTTTTTTGTTGATTCACCATTAATTCCATTTTGGGATAGCGCATGCTCTGTGCTTAATGTTATTAGCATGTTATCCCCTTTTAGAGTTCTTATTCCATTGTTTCATGCAGGCTTGTGGGTAACCCAATTTGTCAGGGAAATGGAGCAACCGAACGATACTGCACAATTCAGAAATCCAACCCTTCATACATCACACCAACAAATAGCTGCACTGCCGTGGTCTGCCGTTCAGACAGAATATTAAGTCCAAATTGCAAATGTGCATATCCGTACACAGGAACCCTACACTTCTTTTCTTTTTCCTTTTCAAATTTAGAAAACTCAAGTTACTTCAGAACACTTGCGGGGTCTCTAATGTCAGCTTTTCGGTCCAATCAACTTCCTGTGGATTCAGTTTCTCTTAGTGATCCAACCGTTGATGTATACTCTTACCTTCAGTTCAGACTGCAAATCTTTCCTTCTGGTCTGGATCATTTCAATAGAACAGGAATTTCTACAGTTGGTTTTCTGCTCACCAGCCAATCTTTCTCAATTCCAAATTATGGGCCTTACTTCTTTTTAACGAGGACTATTGTTGCTTTGCAGGTAAACTTGTATCTCATATTAACTAGTAGAAGCATTTTGGGTGTTTGTTGCAATGAGACATCATTTTCTATCCATACATAGAAGTACATCCTCTTAGAGGATCCAACTCAAAACCAATTGGTAATGGGTGGAGTAACCCTTCAAGTATATGCTCCAACCTTGGCGGTCATAATTATTTAATGTAGGGTACAAGATCTCTTAAACACCCTCACTTATGTAGGACCCAGACTTGCATGTGGAGTCAACAAATAAACAAACAAATATTCATACTTGAAATTCAAATGGGTAAGAAACTTTATCCACTAGCCACCCAAAACTCAACTCTAATATCATGTTAGACCATCCAACTAAAAACCAATAGGCAATGAGTAGAGTAGCCTTCAAGTATAAACAAACCTTTGCTATCCTAATTATTACAACCTCTGTTAACACATCCATCGACCTATTTTTGCATTTACAGGAGCAAAAAAATCATCTAATACAGGCATTATCGTTGGAGCAGTAGTTGGTAGTTTTGTGCTTGTACTTTTAATACTCGGTGCAGGATTTTATGCTTTCCATCTAAAGAGAAAAGCAAAACGAGCAGTTCAACAGAGCAACCCTTTTGGTAAGATCAATATTTGCTGCAAAACAAAGCTCTTTTTAGCTAAATTATACGAGATGCTCTAAAAAACATTTTCGTACAACTATAGCAAATTGGGACCGTGATGAAAGCAGTGGCAGTGTTCCACAACTTAAAGGAGCTAGATGGTTTTCATTTGAAGAGCTTCGGAAATGTACTAACAATTTTGCAGAAGTGAATGCTATTGGATCTGGGGGCTATGGGAAGGTTAGATATTTATTGTTTCCTTTCTATTTTTCAATTTTTTTTCAATCTCCATGTGATACTTCAGCTAGTACTTTACCACCAGTCCTAGTTAAAAACTGCAGTTTCAGACCCTAAACCTGTCCTAAGACTCTCACACCATTGATTAATCCACTCACCATCATATACTAGACAAGAAGACAGTACAGATGTTAGATCTGGATGAATTGGTCTTATTTGGCAATTATCGAAATATCCTGAACTATTTAACTTCCTATGTGGACAAGCCAGTGACTTTAGAGAATGAAATATTGAAGTACACGAAAAATAAGTTGTCAAGAGTATATAATTGCATTATTATCTAAAGTACAATGCAACATTTTGCCTATTCACTTTATTATTTTAAAAACTCCCTGCAGCAGACATGCAATCTTTTTTCTTTTCTGATAACAAAATGTGTTTGCTTCGTCCCCTGGATAAAAATTACTTTGACCTTCCTTCTCACATGACAAAATTTTGATGATTAACATGGGATTCTCAGCATTTTTCTGTTCTCAATATTAGTTGAGCTCCAAAATGTTCTACATTCTGAATTTATAGTTTGTTGACAGGTTTATAGAGGAACTATTGCCTCTGACCAATTAGTTGCCATCAAAAGAGCTCAACGGGGATCATTGCAGGGTGCTCTTGAGTTTAAGACTGAGATTGAGCTTCTATCAAGGATCCATCATAAGAATGTTGTCAGCCTGGTGGGTTTCTGTTATGAGCAAGGGGAACAAATGCTGGTCTATGAGTATATTCCAAATGGTAACCTGAAAGATGGTCTTTCAGGTAATTTCACTAATTTCTTATAGTCCTTCCAATATTCGAAAGAGTATCATCTGCCACCTTCAACACATAATTCAATAAAAAATGAAAATAGCCATTCAACTTGTATCGACAATGAATGCAAGCATGTAATCAGATAGGAGCTATAAAAATGAGACTTATACGACCATGTGTCAAACTCAACCAAGGAGGTTTAAAACCATTACGTCATCTCATAACAAGATTGGATTGCTTCTCCTGTCCTACCCCTTTTACATCTGAATATCAACGATTTACGTTACCCAACCACGGGCCTCCATCGAATTAAGTACAACTAGTAAAAATATATTCATGGTGCCATGCCAAATTACATAATGGCTAGTGGGCAGGGGAACCTGTCTTGAAACCCCCATCCTCTGTCGCCCCTAAGCCATTGGAATACTCAATTGAATTATATTGTAGGGTTGTACAGCCCAACCCTAGACGAGCTTTCACTCGTTAACAGAAATTTTGTCTCTTTTTTATCCTCAAGCACAATGAACTATGCAAGAAACAAAATGGAGAATTATTATTGAGAAGACACAAATGAAAATTAATTCTCTTTGATAATCTGAACATGATCTACACAGGGAAGTCAGGATTCCGATTGAACTGGATGAGGAGACTTAGAATAGCCCTTGATTCAGCCAAAGGTCTGGCCTATATGCATGAGCTTGCCAACCCTCCCATCATACACAGGGACATTAAGTCAACCAACATCCTACTAGATGATCATCTAAATGCAAAAGTTGCCGATTTTGGCTTATCCAAACTTTTGGCAGATACCAGTAAGAGTTATGTTAGCACTCAAGTCAAAGGGACAATGGTAAGTATGAAATCCTTAAAACCTTTACTTTAACATGGATGCCACTACTTTTCTATGTAGCCATGTTTGGATGTCTTTTTTTTCTGAGTGGGGAGATGGAAAATAGTATAGCTTTGCCCTGCAAAACTTTTTGGATAGTTACAATTTCGGATTGTTTCTGGTATTGTTGAGATAGAAGATTATTATAACCTCATTTTTCTAGCTAAGCAAGGCACTGATCTATGAAATGACTCCGGAGTTGTCCCGCTATTTTTCATAAGCAGTTGAATATTACAGGAATTTTCAATTTTCATTGTGCATCACTTCAGTTATTGGATAAGCATTGATAAGCCGGTAGCTTATTGGAATAAATTCTTGTACTTCTCAAGCAGGATGCCAACTATTTATTATAAACATATGTCTGAGGATTATATTCGTCGTAATTATGATTTCTTATGCTTGGTTGAAAAGTTGCCCATTGTTTTAAATAAAATATCTCCCTTGATAGTTGCCCTAATTTAAAATTCGTCTCCCAGATGTACAATGCAAAAAAAAAAAAAAAATCCAGGAAAGTTTGGACATTTCTAGTGGAAGGTGGTAGAGGATATGGTCCGTACTTCTAGTGCTTGCCCCAGGCCACATACTGCACACACATTTTATAGGACTTTAAGTAGCTATTTAGCTTTTCTCAAATTTATCTATGCTGTGTATGATTGGGTATTTTTGTTATTTCGTTGCTGCTTCAATTTTGCTTTAGGTTGACACATGGAAAATCGATTCTTTTGTCACTGTAGGGATACATGGATCCTGAATATTACACGACCCAACGGCTGTCTGAGAAGAGTGATGTTTATAGCTTTGGAATTGTGTTGCTGGAGCTGGTAACTGCAAGGGCACCAATAGAGCGAGGGAAGTACATTGTGGTAATGGTTAAGGATGCAATTGCTAATTCAACGGATCAATATTACATTCGTGACATTCTTGATCCAACCCTCGGTTCAAGTGCAAAACTTGGAGGCTTGAAAAAGTTTGTGGAGTTGGCAATGAGATGTGTCAAAGACTATTCATGTGAGAGGCCTACAATGGGTGAGGTGGTGAGAGAAATCGAGAACATCATGCAGTTAGCTAGTTCGAACAAGAATTCTGAAACGGAGTTCGCTTCATCAAGTAATGAGGGGATGTCTGACTGGGGTAAGGCCTTTGATTACAGTGGTGGCTTCTTACCTCGTGATTTGGAGGGCCACTGGTAAGATAAATGTTTCCATTTCAAATTTACAAGTAGGTAGCAGCAGGTTGTTTCTGTCCCTTCCTGCAGTGCCTTGGTTTGAACATTTAACTTCTTCAATCTTTTTCGATCTTTGAAACAGATTCAGGCTGTAATCAATCTAGTAATTAGGATGTGCATATATGGATCATTAAGCATGTGCAACTAAGTATATTATACAGGAGACATTGTGACAATGTTAGGAATGTTTGTACTATTGATTCAAATACCTTAATGTGTTTCATTCTCTGCAAAAGCCATTGATCTTGAGTGCTTTTCCCTTTGTGAAAAATTGCTCATTTTCTAGTTCCTATTGCAGTTGAAAATGCTTTGTATGAGCTTTAAAGGTTTAAAATTTGAAATAGTTCAAGTTGGTAGCACAACAGCCCTCTTTAGTTCACATAATGAAAACCTTTCCTCTGTTTTATCACAAGAAAAGGAGGGACTAATACCATTAAGCCAAACTGGTCCCTCAGTAGGAACTATTGAAAGAGTGGGCACTCGCACTCGAATCCTATCACCATCTTGCAAGAAAAGCCCAACCCCATAAAACAAAGGGCCCGATTACAGCGTAGTCTTTGAGAGGTAAGTGGTAGGTTGTTTCATCTTTATTTTGTAAATATTAAACATAAAGCAATGACAAATGCTTATACGCTTAGACAACATATCAATGGACCGAGCTTGGAAATACCAAAAAAAAACACAAATGGATCATGAGTGTAAATGTTAGTTTTTTCCGACTTAGTTTATAGTTTATAGTTTTCCTTTGACCTTAAATGACTTTTCTGGTTGAAATTTAATGGAGAGCTACAAGTGAATCTATTTATAATATCCTTGCCAGTCACGCTCCGATTCATGTGGCATTTTCTTGTATTCATTCAACCTCTTTGAGTATTCGTCTACACGAGTAATTATTCAATGTGATGGTGATAGTACGCTATCATCATCACGTGGTATCATCAATCGATTATGAGTAAATAGTAAGACAATCGAACCACGATAATTCTACATAATAGTTATTAAATGCAAAAGTGGTTGATAATTGTAAAATTTTGTGGGATCCACTAGTTCTACATGTTTATTTATAATTGATTGATAACAACACATGACGCTAACAAGCTATTGCAAATATTCTTCCCATTTGGACATCTTTCTAACGTTGATACATGAATATGCATCCGGATCATATAAATTTCAGCTTAAATTATGTGAATTTGGGCACAAATGAATCATTCAAATCAATCATGTGAACACCAACACTTTACTAAACATGACCTCGTGGGTGGGTGGGTGATTCATTCCAATTTTTTGATTGAATTTCGGTCCAAATTAATCATGGAAATATCATACTAGGTTGATGTGGTCAAATTTTACGGTCAATTTTGACTTTCTTTTTTATGAGTTATACGAAATTCACGTTTGCATCGATTATTCTCTCGAACTTATATTTAACTCAAAAGATTCGACCCAGTTTAAACCACCATGCTATCAATCACACAAACATTAACCCTAGACTAAGTGTGATAATTGAATCATATTCTACTGTATTTTGTCATTGTAGTGTGGTATTCTGGATAACTAAAAGGTCTGTCAATATAATTTCAGAAACTATAAGGGGTAGCCCACGCATTTAGGGTAATCTATCGGCACTGTCTTTGTAATTTAATATTTTATGAATTAAAACCTAATTCCTGTTGCCTAGTGGTTGGCGCCAACACATATGCGTTTGACTGTTGTGAGAAGCAGGTAGAAACCTGACAATGAATTAGAGTTTAAAAAAGAAAGAGAGAGAGAGAGAGAAGACAACGAATAGGGTTTCCTCCAAAGATCATCCAAAAGAAAAACCCAAATTGAATTTTCACACTCATCTCCAGGTAATGCCTTTGGAATTTTTTATTTCTAGAAGAACAATGTCAATGTTTTTTTTTTTTCAATAGTATATTCCATATAAAACGGCCAGACACTCAAGTTCAGGAGACTCGGTAATATGTTGAAATTGACATGACCGAGAAAGTTTCATTGCAATATTTTTATATATTTGTGCTGAGAAATCAAGGGTGTGGGTTGGAAATTTACCATGGAGTTGAAGACAAAGTCGTATGGTACTCAATCTCTATGTAGAAGTCATTGGTAATACATGGTTTCATAAAAAACTTGCATCTGAGAATTGGGTTAGTTGGAATTGGAATTGAACAGAGGGTGGTGTCGTTTTGGAGTTTTTTGTTGGGTCTTTAGTCGATTCAGCAATATTTTTTTGTTGTTTGGGAAATGGGTTCAAGAATCCAGGTCTGGCTACTCATTGTTTTTACTCAAATTTTGTTTATAGCAGCACAGACGAACAGCGACGATCGTAAGTTTATCTGATTATTATGTATAGTTTTTGTTTCTTATTCTATGACCATATGAATCTGAAATATTTTTCATGTGTTGATATGATCAGATACTTGTTTTTTGTTTTCATTGAGTAGTCAATGAATGGTTTCCTTGCACATATTCAAAAAAAATGCTTCTATTTGGTAATACATTTCCTGCAAATGTTAATTACCTAATCTATTCTTTAGAAAACATATTTATTAGCTTAGGCATGTCTATCGGGGTTGAATAGTTTAGATAAGTTTTTCTTGATTTGGATCGTGATTTACTACCGCGTTACAGAAGTGGTGGCAAAGGCTCTGCTTTTTCTTTGATGTTCCATTGCAGTGTGTGAGTTTTTAATTTTGATTGCTTTCTTTTCTTCTATATAGGCTCCAAGTATGGAAAGGCTTGATTTGAAGTGTTTACACATAGTCTCCAACTAAATTTTCCTCACAGTTGCCTTCAAAATATTTTGTAGATTTAGGTCATTAACTGCATAATAGATTACCTCTTTTTTGGATGATAATGGGATATTTTTAACAAATGTAGTAGTCAGCTGAAATATCTCTGGGCATTTGGAATGACCCTTAAGATATGGTTTTTTGTCAGTTCTTGTTACATTAGCTTTTTATCCACATCGTCTTTTAGAGATGCAATTTATATTCTACTTTGTATGTGAGTAAAGTCATTAATTTAGGCACTAAACTAGGCTACCAACAATGTACCAACAATGATCCAGTGAACTGGGATGAAAACCGCTAAACCAATACCAAATTAGGCCCAAAATCGCTGAAGCAACACTAAACCTGGCAAACAGCTGGCGAATACAGAGACGACTATAACTCGATGTATGCAGGGCCAGCAATACACCTAGGCGACTAGTACTCTCCTGGGGCTCCACTTACCTAAGTATCTTGCTTTGATACTTTGAATTGTTTTATATTAGGTTTTAGAAAAGAAAGAAAGAGGAAGAAGAAAAGAGGAAGAAAGAGATTACGAAACAATATAATAGGAAGTAAACAGAAAATACAAAATAGACATAATAGGAAAGTAACACTCTAACTCAGAGATCTAACTCCTTTGGCATAAGCAATTACAGTTGAATGTATTTGGTTATTCATTGATTGTTTTTGTAGCTTAAGTTATTTGGAAGTACTTAAAACTCAGAAATTCTTTGTTAACTATAGGAAAAAAGTGAGCTTTATATATGGCAGCCAGAGTATCCCAATTTTTACTGTGTGGAACCTTAATCAAAAAGCAAGGACTAAATTGCTCTCTGCCTTCTTGCTTCCTCATAGTTCTTCGCACTTAGATTGAATTAAATAGTATCTATTGGAGAATATTTTTTTTTTGTCAATGATTAAACATCAAAACAATTGTGATCATTATTGCAGTTGCTGCTCTACATGCTATCAAGTCTAGCTGGCAGAACTTGCCACCGTCCTGGAAGGGGTCAGATCCTTGTGGCAGCAGTTGGGACGGTATTGCATGTACCAATTCACACGTTACCTCCATGTAAGTCATTGGTGTTTCAGCCTTCTAAAGCTCATAGAGTTGCTTATTCTGCCTCTTATTCTTGTTTTAACCAGCCAACTCTCATCGCAGAAAATTAGCAGGCGTGCTTGTGTCGGGCAGCCAGTTTGGCGACATTGCATCATTCACCAATTTACAGTTTTTGTAAGTTCCATGTCTCTACTTTTACTCTTTCCTTGTACATGTGATTTGTGTCTAGTTTTTCAGGCATCTTTACTTATCCGAGATCTTCGTAAACTGTAGTTCTCATATATAATTGACTTTTCAGAAATCAACATTATTCATGCTAGACTACATTGCTCAAACACCCGCAAGGTTCACTGGTCAAGTGGTTGAGCACTCATAGGGGCATAAATAGTGGCCAGAGATTCTTCATATCTCTGATACAAGCACCATGTAGACTATCTTTGGGAACTTGTATCATTGGACTGTGATGCAAATTTTTTGTTTTTTTTTAACTCTATTTTCATAATTGATGCGTCAAGATTGTGACCGGTTGTGCGGAGAATTTTTATTCTCCTTTGTGACTTAAGATTACAAAACCACTTGGATGAACAAACTCTAATGTGGACTTGTCACTTTAGTTGCTAAATATTAGCCATGTGCTATCATTTATAAATGTCCAGTGTTACAAGAGATCTATGAAACATGGATACTTCATTGAGGTTGGCATACCCGTATCGGATACTTTACTTGTCGGATACTCGAAGATATGTATCGGATACCTCTTCTACGTATCCGATAATAATTAAATATTAGAATATTTCATGGATACTTTTGTGGTTGAACAACATATATAATTTTTGAGTTGAATTTTAACATCTCTTTTCGAATTCACATACTATACAATACATTAACAAAAATTCATATTACTTCAAAGACACATGAGTATTTCTTAAGTATTATCTACAATTACATGTCAAAAGAGCATAAAATAAAGCAATTACATTATAATCTTAGCAAAAATTACTTCTAAATACTTGATAAATATTAGCTTTGATTCTTTTAATTAGTCACTTCACTCTGTGAATATACCATAGTAATACGATATATATTTTCTTGAAACTAAAAAAAATTACTAATTTCTTATTGTTTGTTAAAGAACTACCAAAATATATAAGTATTAAGCTCGTTGAAAATAATAAAAATATTAAATATATTTTATTATAGCCTTATCTTGACCGTACTCGTATTCTACATTTTGTCATATCGCCATATCCGTATCGTATGGTACCTGTATCTGTATCCGTGCTTCATAGCAAGAGATGTATTGAAGTACTACAGTACTACTTCCCTTTTTCTGCAAATTGTTTGGGAAAACTAACAGACTCATTTGGATGGTCTAAAGAGTATAATATTTTGTTCCAGATCCTATCAAAAGCTTGTTTGATCAAAAGTTTCCAGGGAGAAACCAGTTATTTTGAGAGGCAAAACTCCTAAAGGGTCAATGTTACAATAAGGGATGCACTGTTAAACTAATAAGTGACTAAAAGCAACTAGCGTACAGTGCGATTCTTTACTTTGTGACTCTAATGTCCAGACACAATGATTTTTTGTTTTTTGTTTTTTTGTAACAGAATATCTGATAGATACATGCATATATACGTAGATGTGTGTATAAAAATAAAACTATCAAGATAATAACCATATATGTTAAATTTGGGGAGAAGCTTGAGAATCAAAAGAATTCAAAACAAGTAGAAATCAGATAGAATATATGAGAACGTGGTCGTAGTAAAAGTAGAAATTCAAATAAGCAAATAGCAAAATAGAATATCAGTATATATTAAATAGTGAACATTTTAGGTGTTTGGGTTCCACTATCCACAAAGAAGAAGAGATTGGAGATGATGCTAGTCCTAGAATTAAAGAAGGATGGACAAAGTGGAAGAATGAAGAGGGTGTATTATGTGACATGTAGGTCTCATGAACTGAAAGGTAAATTCTACAAGACAACCACCGGACCAACAATGGTTTATGGTACTGAGTTGTCGTGCCCCAAGTAACGCACCCGTGGGGACTTGATGCGCGAACTAAATTACCATCAATTTCCTCTAAATATAGTGCATTGAAAACTTCAATAACTTGATTTTCCCTAGATATTACAACAGTCCAAACCATAAAATATTGAAAAATTGTAGAAAGTAATTACCAATCAACAACTCTCAAAATTCTTCAGCTACTCTATTGCCCTACTGGTCTTTACACCAAAATCAACCCGTACTAGAGAGGTTAAATTGGGGGCTGAGCTTGGGATCCAGGTAAACAGATTGAATGAACAACTAACCATGAATCGCGAAAGTATCATACTAAGTTCATCTTGGCAACATTCCAAACCCCACTCGCTGCATTCCACCATCACACACACCCCACAAAGTCATAATTACATCTCACTAAACAAACCATACCCCTGAGTGCACATACTATGTACCAACAAGTCCCTATGTAATTCTCCAACCAAAAATATTTTCAGCATACCCCATTTAATGGACATCAAACAAAATTTCAGAACGATGACGATACAAAAATCAAAGTTGAATTCAGGATTGTGACTATGAAACAACCTCATTGCAAAGAGATTTAAAGACAGATGGATATTGTGAAGTAACCCACTTAATGAAACCAAAACTGACACTGATGGATGTATAGATCAAAGGTCTGAAACAATACTAAGAAATGGTATAGCCATGATTTTCCTAGCTGAGAACAATCCTCTTCATATCAATTCTGCTAAGAATTAGCTCATTTGTTGCAAAAAATTAGGTTGCCACCATTAATTGCTATAGTAGAGCCTACAACATATTTAATTAAGTTTTTGTAGTCTGTTCACTTTGAGAATGTCACTGCTGCATTGCTATTCCACTGCTATTAGTAAATCTTGTCATTTTGATGCTAAGCTTCCCATCTTCACATGAAATTACATTTTGCCCCCAAACTACAATGACGTATGAAGATCTCATATTACAGACCCACTCAATCAAGTGTAACAAAATTGATAACCTTTATTGTTTCTTCCTTATTTCACCAAATGATAAGCCTTAAATATCTTCCTTCGTATTCAAGCCTAATATCTCACCCATACTCTATTTTCATATGTTTATTTTCCTTTTCTTGTGTAGTGGTTATCGCAAGAGTGCTGAGCAAATTAGAAAAAAAACATGACCAAAAAGTATGTGCGATAAGATGGATGTGGGTTAAAAAAAAAGCGAGCACTGTGATGAACATATTGGTGATAGAGTTGAAGTAGTGTCTGGAGAAGATATTGAGAGAATTGACTTAGATGGTTTGAGCATGTTTATAGAAGCCCTCTTACTATACCGGTGAGGAGCCTATCAATGATAACGTGAAGGGTAGCAGACTGAAATGTACATTAAACGAGATCGTAAAAAAGGACGTGATAGTTTGTAGCTGAACAGGAAAAATATGACTCTTTATAGAGCATAATGGAGAGACATGATTTATGTAGCTGACCCTAAAATTATTGGGACAAGGCTTAGTCTTGCTTACCATATTGCTTTCTCTGCACCTGAAAATTCTCCTGCTCCATTTTTCCTCTCCCACTCCCTGGTTCAAGGAGAACACAGCCCACACAAAAAAACTAAAATTCAATTCTGTTTATGTCTTACTTTAATTCAATGGACATCTCTTTACTTTATCTGTAGACATTGTTTTGTATTCTACATTATTGCTGATAAATTTCGCAAGAACCAGTTATTTTCTGATCAGTAGCTTCTGCATGCAGGGATCTTTCAAATAACATAGGTCTGAAAGGAACTCTTCCACCATCAATTGGGAATTTAAAGAATCTGACGACCCTGTAAGCAAAATCGTATTCGTGCTTTGAGTGTCAGCTACCCAACTAGTGTGCTTCAATATTTATGTTTGACGAATTTGTTTTCCTTTCACGTAGAATGCTGGTTGGTTGCAGTTTCTTTGGTCCAATTCCAGACTCAATAGGATCTCTGCAGCTGCTAGTTTTTCTGTAAGGATTTCATTCTAGCGTACTTCGTTTGATTTTCTGAAGGTTTGATGAGCATTCATTTCCTTACAGAAGCCCAAGAATTTTGGCATTGTAGTTTGAATGCAGTTCAAGTTATCTTTATATTGCCATGGAACTATGTATAATGGGCCCTTTTATTGCCTCTTTGGTCTCCTAATTGAACTCTTTATAATTCAACCATTCTGAAGCTTTTATGTGCCTGTCTTTTGAAGAGTTTTAGTAGAAGCTGCTGTCATCTTATTTTCTGTATCTTGTGAATTGCCGTTCTACGCAGAGCTCTGAATTCTAACAGCTTCAGTGGACCAATTCCACCTTCTATTGGTAATCTATTGAATCTTTCATGGCTAGATTTAAGTGACAATCAGCTAAATGGAACCATTCCAGTATCCAGTGGACCTACTCCTGGTTTGGATATGCTAATTAAAGCAAAACACTTGTACGCTCTACCTCGTTAAAATTTCAACCTTGAAGTTTTCAAAATATTCAGTCTCTTCTTTCTTGTAATTTATTTTTTTATCTGTCAATGTGAACATCAACCAATTATGTACAGTCATTTGGCAAAGAATCAGCTTTCAGGCACCATCCAACCTCAACTTTTCAGCTCAAACATGAACTTGATACATGTGTGAGTATATTGGAATGGATATTTAATATATCTGTTTTATTTTAAGTAAATGGGTAACTCAGATATGTTTTGTGCGCATTCACGTTGTTCACCTATAAGTAAGGAGGTAGATGGTTTCACAATAGGAAATTGAACCTGTATTTCAGCTCAAACATGAACTTGATACATGTGTGAGCATATTGGAATGGATATTTAATATATATGTTTTATTACTTTAAGTAAATAGGTAACTCAGATATGTTTTGTGTGCATTCACGTTGTCATCTATAAGTAAGGAGGTAGATGGTTTCACAATAGGAAATTGAACCTGTTAAATCAGAATCCATTGTGTTTTGTCTGGAAAGTTTGTGCATATATATCTGCCTTCTCCATATGGCTCCTTGAACTGGAAGCATTTCATCCTTTCTCTTCATTGGTTTGCATTCGAGCTACCTCGAATTTCTAGTGCATTAATTAATGTCTACATCAATTCTAACATACTTTTCTTGGATGAAAATTGTGGATATTTTTCTTTCTTTAAACATTCATTCATGAAAAAGTTCTATACACATTACAGTCTTTTGAGAAGTTAAACAATGATTTTTGTGTCGTCATACACAATGAACAATCCTTCCCTCCTATGGTGGGATTAGGAGAGGAAGTAGAAAAACTTCACTGGAGATGTCTAATTTGGATAACACTCCAAAACGACCCTTAGTCAAATCCATCAGCAAAGTCCCGCTGTGTTTCCCTAATTCGTGGATGATTGAAGCAATAATATGAAATTATGGCACGCGAGTATTTCAAACATTTTGTCAGAGTCTTTTTCATTAATAACCCTCTCTCATTTTTAATACTTATTTGTCGTCATAGCCATTTTTTCCATATTTTCCCCTACTTTAATTGGATTTCTATGGTTACAACAATTTGATGGTATCGGTTAATGGTAAGAGGGCCTCATTTTGTGTATGCATTCATGTTCATTAGCTTCTGACTCAGATTTTGGTTCTGCCAACCCAAAACATGGACTTTCCGTCTTTCAATTTGGAACTGGATATAAAAAAGACAGTGTCCTAAACTTCTTCCAAAGGGAGAACTCTCTCTCAATCAGCTTCTGACTCAGACTTTTGTTGTCTGTTTACCCAAAATATGTACTTTTTTCGGTCTTTCAAATTAAAAGACAATGCCCTTAACTTTTTCCAAAAGGAGGACCCTCTCTCTCGATCGCTCTCCTTCCATCTCTACCCTCTCTCTCTCAATGTGTTTTTGTTGTGTGTGTGTGTGTGTCTAGTTGTCAACCTAATGGGTATACAAGATAGCCAGGAGCACCTTTAAGGGTTGGAGCCCCAACAGCTCTTCAATAACAATAAAAGAAAGTAGATTTTCTTGTCAATTTACAAGGAGTTTTTTGATGCTGTACATAAATAATAATTCTTTACCTCATATTGACAGATTGATGGAAAATACACAGTTTGAAGGACACATTCCAGTCAATCTTTTCAGCCTCCCTCAATTGGAGACAGTGTAAGTATAAGCTTAATCTCCAATAACACCAGCTAAGAAAAAAAAAAAATTCATGAACACCAGATTTAATGTGGGCGATGTTCAGTAACAAAATTTAGCGAACATATGTTTTGCTTCATTTGCTTAAATGAGAAATGAGGGTGATGGGGCGATTTATTTGAAATATGTTGGCAGGGTACTAAGCAACAACAAGCTTAATGGGACACTGGATATTGGCACCAGTTATAGCAACAATTTGACGGTCGATTTGCAGAACAACTCCATTACTGACTTTACACAAAACTCAAGTTACAATATGGATTTGATGTAAGGCAATTTGTTTTTTTGTTGATCCATTTGTTGAATAAGTTTGTTTGGGTATTCATTTAATTTTACCTCCATTATAGCTTTGAGGACTCATTAATTCCATTTTGGGATAGCGCATGCTTTGTGCTTAATGTTATTAGCATGTTATTCCCTTTTAGAGTTCTTATTCCATTGTTACATGCAGGCTTGTTGGTAACCCAATTTGTCAGGGAAATGGAGCAACAGAACGATACTGCACAATTCAGAAATCCAACTCTTCATACATCACACCAACAAATAGCTGCACTCCCGTGGTCTGCCGTTCAGACAGAATATTAAGTCAAAATTGCAAATGTGCATATCCATACACAGGAACCCTACACTTCTTTTCTTTTTCCTTCTCAAATTTAGAAAACTCAAGTTACTTCGGAACTCTTGCGGGGTCTCTAATGTTAGCTTTTCGGTCCAATCAACTTCCCGTGGATTCAGTTTCTCTTAGTGATCCAACCGTTGATGTATACTCTTACCTTCAGTTCAGACTGCAAATCTTTCCTTCTGGTCTAGATCATTTCAATAGAACAGGAATTTCTACAGTTGGTTTCGTGCTCAACCGCCAATCTTTCCCGCTCAAAGATTATGGACCTTACTTCTTTATTGACGACAGCTATTGTTGCTTCGCAGGTAAATGTGTCTTTTATATTAACTAGTAGAAGCATTTTGGGTGTTTGTTGCAATGCAACACATCTTTTTCTATCCATACATAGGAGTAGATCCTCTTAGAGGACCCAACTAAAAACCTATTGGTAATAAGTGGAGTAACCCTTGAGTATATAAATCAACCTTGGTGGTCTTAATTATTTGATGTAAGGTACAAGCTCTCTTAAACACCCTCCCTCATGTAGGACTGACTTCCACGTGGGGTCAATAAACAAACAAATATTGATGCATACCGAAAAATTCAAATGGTTAAGTGACTTGATCCAGTTACTATTCAAAACTCAACTCTAATACCATGTAGAGCATCCAACTTGTTGAGAAAGTTACTATAATACGATTAAGAAAGTTGCTATAATGTAATTAGGGTTTATGTTTATTGTAATATGTATACCACACGAATGGTATACTCGTAATTTTTATTTTGTCCAGTGGGTATAAATACAAGACCAATAGTGAGAGGTAGGTTAAGCCAAAACTTCTCTTTGGCTTTCTCATATTGTGTTAAGCTCTTCCATAATCTTAACATGGTATCAGGTATCAGAGCAAGACTCTTATTAATCATCTTTTTTTTTTCTCTTTCCTCTCTTTTCTTTTCTCTTCTATTCTTTTCTTCTGGTTTGCGTCTTCACTGAGTCCGGGTGTCGAATGGGTTTGCATTGACTCTATGCATTCCCACCGGTGAAGCTTCGGTGTGAAATCGAGGTTCCATTGTTCTCTGCTTGGCGTCGACAACAGGGTTGCTCTTGATGTTGTTCATGGTGGTGGTGATGTGGTATCGCTGTGGATGTTCCTCGTCACTGTGGTAGTGTCGTCGTTGCTTGGGGTGTGAGGCGCCATAGACTAGTGTGGCTTCTGATGGCTTTTGTGGTGGTGTGGCTGCTGGGATCTCTCAGTGTTGTCGTCTGGTGTGAGTGTTGCCGACAAATAAGGTTTGATTGAAACCCTAGTTCTTGGAGAAGACGATCCTCACAGGTCAGTTGCGGATTTGGGTAACATGCCTAAGTCCACAGGGTTTTTTATCGGATCCGATCCAGACCTAGACCCAATCCAGACCCAGATTTAGATCTAGATCAGTTCAAACCCTGTTCAGTCATTGTTTAGTCCCGATTCAGTCCGTTTTCCTCCGGTTCAAACCAGTTGTTCAAGTTTTTCTTCCGGTCTATTGGTCCAGTGAACCTTACCTGCTCAGTTCAGTGGTCTAGCAAAGGTTTTGTTCCCGGCTCAGTGGTTTGGTGTGCCTTTACGGTCCAGTTTAGCGGTCCAATGTGCCTTTCTTGGCCGGTTCAGCAATCCAGCGAACCTTTCTTTGCCGGTTCAATGATCCAACAAGCTTTCTTGTTCTGTTTAACTTTGGATTATTACTGTCCAGTACTGTTCACCACTGAGCAGTCTCCTTTTTGCACTGTTTAACACTGTTCAACCGTCCTTTGGCTATGGAATCCAAGAACGATGACATATCCGTTGTTACTTCTCCTATTGTGCCACCTGGTTTGTCTTCTGCTGCTCTATTTAATAGTCTTATGACGTCAATCAAGCTTAATGGGACAAATTATGTTTTATGGTCGCGATTAGTCCAAGTATTTTTGAAAGGGAAAGGTCTCAAGAAATATTTAATGGATCCTAAACCCAAAGAAGGTACACCTGGTTATGATGAGTAGGAACAGACAGATGCTCAGATTATTTCTTTATTATTGAATAGTACTGAGGCTAATATTAGCTCCACTTTATTTTATCTAGACATGGCCAAAGAAATTTAGGACCACTTGGTTATTATGTATTCGGGCACAGGTAATTTTACTCGTGCCTATGAGGTTTGTCAACAATACTTTTGTTTAGAACAAGGTAATTTGAGCATTGCAGATTATTATTCCCATGTCACGGGAGTTTGTGGGGAACTAAAACTTTACCACCTGTTTACCACTGATACTATAGTGTGGCAGAAGCAGCATGAAGATATGAATGTTGTTCATTTTTTGATGGGTTTAAGACTTGAGTATGAGGCTGTTCGTTCTCAAATTTTGGGCAGTTGTAGTCTACCATCTTTGCTTGAGGTTTTTTCTCATTTACAACATGTTATATTGTCTATCGGGACCTCTGGTGTTAACCGTAGTTTATCTCATGACCGCTCAACACTTGTTGTCCCTACTAGCCATAATGATAGTTCTGGAGGTGGTCGTGGCAACCATGGTGGTCGTGGGGGACTTGGAGGTTGTGGTGGTCGATCTGGTCCTTGCTTGTGCACTCGTGGAGGACACACCGTTGATTATTGTTGAGATTTACATGGCAAGCTTTCAGGTGTTGCTAATCATACCTCTTATCAGGATG